CCATATGATCCAGCAATCCCACTACTAGATATATACCCAAAAGAAAGGAAATCCGTATATTAAAGAGAGGTCTACAGTCCCGTGTTCATTGAGGTGCTATTCACAATAGCCAAGATTTGAAAGCAGCCTCAGCGTTTATCAACAGATGAACAGATAAGGAAATCTGGTAATAAATACAATGGAGTGCTATTCAGCCACAAAAAAGAATAAGATTCTGTCATTTGCAAGGACACAGATGGAATTGGAGGCCATTATTTTAACTGAAATAAGCCAGGAACACAAACTTTGCATATTCTCACTCATTTTTGGGAGCTAAAACTTAAAATAATTGAACTTCTGGAGACAGAGAAGGACAGTTATGGGAGGCTGGGAAGAATAGTGGGGGTGGAGTTGGGGGAAGTGGGGATGGTTAATGGATACAAAAATATAGCTAGACAGAATGAATAAGATCTTGCATTTTGTGGTAGAACAGGGTGACTACAGTAAACAATAATTTATTGTATATTTAAGAATAAGAATATAATTGGATTGTTTGTAACGCAAAGGAAGGATAAATGCTTGAGGTGGTGGGTGCCTCATTTACTGTGATGTCATCATTACACATTGTACGCCTGTGTCAAAATATCTCATGTACCCTATAAATATATACACCTATTATGGACCCATAAAAATTAAAAATAAATTATTTTTAGGCCAGGTGCAATAGCTCACGCTTGTAACTCCAGGACGTTGGGAAGCCAAAGTGGGAGGACTGCTTGGGTTCAAGAGTTCAAGACCAGCTTGGGCAACATAATAAGATCCCACCTCTACAAAAAATAAAATAAAATAAAAATTAGCCAGGTGTGGTGGTGCATGTCTATAGTCCTAGCTACTTGGGAGGCTGAGGTGGGAAGGTTGATTGAGCCAGGGAGGTTGCTGTGATTGTGCCACTGCAGTCACCCTGGGGGACAGAACAAGACACTGTCTCAAAAAAAAATTTTTTTTTAATCCGTTGGTTTGAATGCTTCCTTCAGTGTTTTTATCAGGTCCCTCCTTAGTATCCTATACGTATAACATAGAATTACATATAAGATACAAAAGCTGGAAAACTTAGACGAGATGGCTAAATTCCTAAACACATACACCCGCTCAAGACTGAGCCGGGAACACATTCATTCCCTGAACAGACCAATAACAGGCTCTGAAACTGAATCAGTAATAAATAGCCTACTATCCAAAGAAAGCCCAGGACCAGACAAATTCATAGCTGAATTCCATCAGATGTACAAAAAAGAGCTGGTACCATTCCTACAGAAACTATTCCAAAAAACTGAGGAGGGGGGACTCCTTCCCAACTCATTTTATGAGCCCAGCATCATCATCATACCAAAACCTGGCAGAGACATAACAAAAAAAGAAAATTTCAGGCCTGTATCCTTGATGAACACTGATGCAAAAATCCTCAATAAAATACTGGCAAACCAAATACGGCAGCATATCAAAAAGCTTATCCGCCAGGATCAAGTAGGCCTCATCTTCAGGATGCAAGTCTGGTTCAACATATGCAAATCAATACATGTGATTCATTACATTAACAGAACGAAAGACAAAAACCACATGATTATCTCAATTGATGTAGAAAAGGCTTTTGATAAAATTCAACACCCTTCATGTTAAAAACTCTCCATAAACATAATGCAGAACTAGATAGTGAAAGAACATACCTCAACATAATAAGAGTCATCTATGACAAATCGACAGCCAACATTATACTGAATGGGTAAAAGCTGGAAGCATTCCCCTTGAAAACCAGCCCAAGACAAGAGTGCCCTCTCTCACCACTTCTATTCAACATAGGATTGGAAGTCCTAGCCAGAGCAATCAGGCAAGAGAAAGAAATAAAGGGCATTCAAAAAGGAAGAGAGGATGTCAAAGTATCTATTCATAGATGACATGATTCTGTAACTAGAAAATGTCATAGTCCTGGCCCAAAAGCTCCTCCAGTTGATAAGCAACTTCAACAAAGTCTGAGAGTACAAAATCAATGTACAAAAATCAACAGCATTCCTATATACCAACAACAGTCAAATCTAGAGCCAAATCAGAAAGACAATCCCATTCACAATGACCACAAACAGAATAAAATACACAGGAATACAGCTAACTAGGGAGGTGAAAGAATTGCAAAATACCGTTCAATTACAAATTACAAAGAGAATTACAAAATACTACTCAAAGAAATCAGAGAAGACACAAACAAATGGAAAAAAAACATATCATGCTAGTGGATACAAAGAATCAATATCATTAAAATCAGTATCCTCTCCAAAGCAATTTACAGATTCAATGCTATTTGTATCAAACTACCAATGACATTCTTCACAGAACTAGAAAAAAACTATTTTAAAATTGATATGGAACTGAAAAAGAACCTAAATAGCCAGGGAAGTCCTAAGATAAAAGAACAAAACTGGAGGCATGTTACCCAACTTCAAACTATACTACAAAGGCACAGTAACCAAAACAGCATGATACTGGTATAAAAACAAGCACATAGAGAACAGAATAGAGAGCCCAGAAATAAGGCTGCACATCTATGACCCTCTGACCTTCAACAAAGCTGACAAAAACAAGCAATGGGAAAAAGACTTACTATTGAATAAATGGCGCTGAGATAGCTGGCTAGCCATATGCAGAAGATTGAAGCTGGACCCCTTCCTTGGACCATACACAAAAATCAACTCAAGATAGATTAAAGACTTAAATGTAAAACTCAAAACTATCAAAACCCTAGAAGACAACCTTGGCAAGTCCATCCTGGACATAAGAACAAGCAAAGATTCCATGACAAAGACACGAAAAGCAACTGCAACTAAAAGCAAAAATTGACAAGTGGGATCTAATTAAACTTGCAAACTATACATCTGACAAAGGTCTAATATCTAGCATCTATAAGGAACTTAAAAAAATTTACAAGAGAAAAACTAACAACCACATGAAAAAGTGGGCAAAGGGCATGAATGTACACTTCTCAAAAGAAGACATACATGCAGCCAACAGGCACATGAATAAAAGTTCAATATCTTTGATCATTAAAGAGATGCAAATCAAAACTACAGTGAGATATCACCCCAACCCAGTCAGAATGGCTATTATGAAAAAATAAAAAAAAACCTGATGCTGGCAAGGTTGTGAAGAAAATGGAACACATATACACTGTTGGTGGGAGGGTAAATTAGTTCAACCATTGTGGAAAGCAGTATGGCGATTCCTCAAAGATCTGAAAACAGAACTACCATTTGACCCAGCAATCCTATTACTGGATATATATCCAGAGAAATAAAAGTCATTCTACCATAAAAACATAGGCACACGAATGTTCATTGCAGCACTGTTCACAATAGCAAAGACATGAAGTCAACCTATCAGTGAGAGATTGTATAAAGAAAAATATGGCTTATATACATATATACCATAAAATACTATACAGCCATAAAAAATGAAATCATGTCTTTTGAAAGAACGTGGGTGGAGCTGAAGTCTATTACCCTTAGCAAACTAACATAGGAACAGATAACCAACTACTGCATGTTCTCACTTATAAGTGGGAACTAAATGATGAGAACTTATAAACACAAAGAAGGAAAAAATGGCTAGGCACAGTGGCTCACGCCTGTAAACACAGCACTTTTGAGAGGCTGAGGCAGGTCGATCACGAGGTCAGGATATCGAGACCATCCTGGTTAACATGGTGAAAACCTGTCTGTACTAAAAATACAAAATTTAGCCAGGCAGGTGGTGGGTGCGCCCCTGTAATCCCAGCTACTCAGGAGACCGAGGTGCAAGGGTCACTTAAACCTGGAAAGTGGAGGCTGCAGTGAGCCAAGATCGTGCCATTGCATTCCAGAGTGGGTGAAGAGTAAAACCGTGTCTCAAAAAAAGAAAAACAAAAAGAGAGAGAAACCAAAAAACAAAGAAAGAAACAATAGACACTGGGGATTACCTGACGGTGGAGGTTGGGAGGAGGGAGAGGAGCAGAAATATCACTATTGAATACTGGCTTAGCACCCAGGTAATGAAACCATCTGTACAACAAACCCCCATGACACGTTTTTACCTGAGTAACAAGCCTTCACTTGTCCCCCCAAACCTAAGATATAAGTAAAAAAAAAATGCATTGGTCTAAACACTTCCTTCAGTGCTTCTATGAGGTCCCTCCATAGTATAAAATACACATGTGTTGCATACATAATCATATATTTTATAACATAATTTATATATAACTTTATAAAATATTAAATATATTAAATAAATAGTATTATATACTAATATATATGAAATAGTAGTATACACATGTAACATATAATATTTGGCAGTATTTAAATGCTTTGGGATAAAGATAATAAGGAGAAAATGGCTAGAAGACAGATATCCATGTATACGTACATAAATTTCAATATGTTAACATATACATACTAATGTGTTTGCTATTGTTACTGTGTACTAATATATATCTATATTTAGCTTGTTAATAAAGGCTAGATTAGAGCCTTTGTTAATTACATTGCTAAGGCGCTCTTCTTTCCTCTCATACCCATCACCAGGCTGAGTTTCAGTTTCATTTACTTCCCATTGCCATCTCTAATTATTTGGGAGATGTACTGTGGCTTGTTGCCTCTCAGTCTGCTCTGAGAGGTTCTGTCTTCCATCAGCTGCCAGGATATTCTGCCCCTGCGTCTCTGTCACACTGACATAGGGGAAGCTTGCTCCACTCCCCCCCATCTTTTTTTTATTTTTATTTTTTATTTTTTACTGGAAGAGTTATCTCTGAAGGTTTTTCCCTGAACTGGGTATGTCTCTTGAACTGAATATGTCCAAGCACAGCTGGTTTCATGGACATCTGATCTATTCAGTTGCACAGGGTCCCATTCTCAGAAGAGCCCGTACTTGACTCAATTCTCTGCTGTTTTATATTCTGGATAATTTTTGAACAAGAAGCCCTACCTTTTTATTTTTCACAGGTCCCTGCAAATGACGGAAGCAGTCCTGTTTCAAAACGCTATTAAGCATGCTTCTGAGCTGCGGACAGTCATCGGACCAGTCTTCAGCCGTGCCCATGACAGTAGCAGTGACAGCACACCACTTTGCTCATGATATGGATCAGTAAGTGTTTAAGTGAGCCCTGCTCTCTCTCTCTGCGGATGTTAATCACTCACTCCATACCCCTCCCACACTGAGGCTCATGCAGTGAATAGTAAGGGACCTTCGTATAGTGTCACGTGATGAATATTGAAAACTCTAAGACTGAATCTTTACTTCATGCAAGTAAGTTCTTGCAGGAATTCTCTTCAAGTCTGTCATGGTGTTATTAGAGACACAAATTCTCTTCAACGCTAAGGTAGTGGCCAATAGCATGTTGTATAGCTGAGGAGCTTTAACAGAAGGAAGGAAATGTAGCACTGTGTTAGTTTCCCAGGGCTGCCAGAACACATCAGCACACACTAGGTCACTAAAAACAACAGCAATTATTTCTCTCCTCCAATTCTGGAGACCAGAAGTCTGAAATCACGGTATCAGCAGAGCCTTATTCCCCAGAGGCTCTCAGGATGAATGTGATCCTTTCTTTTTCCAGCTTCTGGTGGCTGCAGCTGTTCCTTGGCATGTGGCTGTGTCTCTCCCTGCTACATCTTCGGGTCACCTACTCCTCTTATGCGTATCTCTCCTTTGTGTGTCTGTCTCCAAACTCAGACTCTTCCCTAAAAGGATACAGGTGGTTGCATTGAGAGCCCAGAACCTGTGATTGCACCGAGAACCCAGACAGAGAATACTGGATGTGTATGTTTTTGGGTGCCACCGTTCAGGCCACTGCAGGCACTGATGCTGATACGAATGTTTAAGATACTCAAGCAGGCAACATTTTGGAAGGTGTTCAGTGCACATGCCAGCACCTTCATTTTTAAAAGAGGTGTTCCTTAAAGCACAAAACCTAAAGCTGTCACTTTTTCAAAGCCAATTCAGAGATACATGTTTTCAGGCGTGGAAGCCTTTTGTGGTGTGTTCCTTTCTCTGCTGTTTTTATAGTGAATCTTAAAGATGTCTGCCCTAAATGTTCTACATTATTCTAGCTTGTTCACTGGTTCAAAGGCTATAGTATAAATTTTGCACAAATGGTTCATCTCAACTCTCTTGACCCTTGGAAAGGGCTCAATACACAGCCAGCTCTGGTTGAATTTCATATGTACTACATGGGTCTACATGCTGTCATTTTCATCAATATTTTTGTGTTAGAAACTAGGAAATATGAAAAAATCACTTCGTTTCTCTAGTGCCATGGAAAGGTGATGGGATTAGGTTAATTTTTGGTTCAATCCCTTGAATTGAGAATTTTGTGATTATTTTGTAAAGTAGCATGTAAGCACTATGAGGGTAGAAATGAAAAAGAATTTTTTTATTATGGAAAACTGAAACTTATGCTAGATAATGTGTCCCTACACACTCATTAACCAGATTCCACATTTAATGATTGAACTCAAAGTTAACATTATCCAAGCCACCTTGTTATATTACTAAACACATAATAAGTAGTTTGTTGAGAATTTAATCTCCAGTTTAAAAACAAATTCTGTGCAGAGAATTCTGCTTTTATCAAGATCTTCACAGCCAAAGCCTGTAATGCAACGTTTAGATGCATACATGCTACAAAGTTTTGGGGAAATAAAACAACTTCAAAGTTGGCACCAAGCCTACGGTGTGAGAAATAATTTTTTAAATTACTCTTTCCATTGTGTTGTTTCGATTTTTGAAATTCTATGAGCTGCAAATAAAAGGAGAAAATGGGAGGTGATGACATATTTCTAAGTCTCCTACTGAGCTCTTAGGACCATTAGCATAGAGATGGTCCAAAAAGGCAAGAATGAATGAGGTTTTCAGGAGAACCAGGGAAAGGTATAAAGCAAGAGGCTGAGAGGGGGACCCTGAGAACTGGTGACCATTCAGGTAGCTAGAAAAAGATGAGCTCAGTAGGAGACTTAGAAGTATTCACCACATAAACAGAACCAAAGACAACAACCATGTGATTATCTCAATAGATGCAGAGAAGGCCTTTGACAAAATTCAACAGCGCTTTACACTAAAAACTCTCAATAAACTAGGTATCGATGGAATGTATCTCAAAATAATAAACGCTATTTATGACAAGCCCACAGCCAGTATCATACTGAATGGGCAAAAACTGGAAGCATTCCCTTTGAAATCTGGCACTAGACAAGGATGCCCTCTCTCACTACTCCTATTCAATATAGTATTGGAAGATCTAGCCAGGGCAATCAGGCAAGAAAAAGAAATAAAAGGTATTCAGTTAGGAAAGGAGGAAGTCAAATCGTCTCTATTTGCAGACGACATGATTGTATATTTAGAAGACCCTATCATCTCAGCCCTAAATCTCCTGAAACTGTTAAGCAACTTCAGCAAAGTTTCAGGGTACAAAATCAATGTGCAAAAATCACAAGCATTCCTATACACCAATAACAGACTTAAAGAGAGCCAAATCAAGAACGAACTGCCATTCACGACTGCTACAAAGAGAATAAAATACCTAGGAATACAACTAACAAAGGATGTAAAGGACCTCTTCAAGGAGAACTACAAAGCACAGCTCAACGAAATAAGAGAGAACACAAACAGATGGAGAAACATTCTGTGATCATGGTTACGAAAAATCAATATAGTGAAAATGGCCATACTGCCCAAAATAATTTATAGATTCAATGCTATCCCCATCAAGCTATCAATGACCTTCTTCACAGAACTGGAAAAAACCACTTTAAACTTTATATCAAACCAAAAGAGAGCCCGCATAGCCAAGTCAATCCTAAGCAAAAATAACAAAGCTGGACGCATCACGCTACCTGACTTCAAACTATACTACAAGGCTACAGTAATCAAAACAGCATGGTACTGGTATCAAAACAGAGACATAGACCAATGGAACAGAACAGAGGCCTCGGAAGCAATACCACACATCTACAACCATCTGATCTTTGACAAGCCTGACAAAAACAGGCAATGGGGAAAGGATTCCTTGTTTGATAAATGGTGTTGGGAAAACTGGCTAGCAATGTGCAGAAAGCAGAACTGGACCCCTTCCTGACACTGTACACTAAAATTAACTCCAGATGGATTAAAGATTTAAATATAAGACCTAACACCATAAAAACCTTAAAAGAAAACCTAGGCAAAACCATTCAGGACATAGGCATAGGCAAGGACTTCATGACTAAAATACCAAAAGCACTGACAGCAAAAGCAAAAATAGACAAATGGGACCTAATCAAACTCCACAGCTTCTGCACAGAAAAAGAAACAATCAGAGTGAACCAGCAACCAACAGAATGGGAAAAAAGTTTTGCAATCTACCCATCTGACAAAGGACTTATATCCAGAATCTACAAAGAACTAAAACAGATTTACAAGAAACAAACAAACCCATTCAAAAGTGGGCAAAGGATATGAACAGACACTTTTCAAAAGAAGACATATATGAGGCCAAGAAACATGAAAAAATGCTCATCATCACTGGTCATTAGATAAATGAAAATCAAAACTACATTGAGATATTGTCTCACGCCAGTTAGAATGGTGATCATTAAAATATCTGGAGGCAACAGATGCTGGAGAGGATGTGGAGAAATAGGAACACTTTTACACTGTTGGTGGGAGTGTAAATTAGTTCAACCATTGTGGAAGACAGTGTGGCGATTCCTCAAGGACCTAGAAATAGAAATTCCATTTGACCCAGCAATCCCATTACTGGATATATACCCAAAGGATTATAAATCATTCTATTATAAGGACACATGCACATGTATGTTCATTGCAGCACTGTTTACAATAGCAAAGACATGGAACCAACCCAAATGCCCATCTATGATAGACTGGACAAGGAAAATGTGGCACATATACACCATGAAATACCATGCAGCCATAAAGAATGATGAGTTCGTGTCCTTTGTAGAGACATGGACGAACCTGGAAAGCATCATTCTCAGCAAACTGACATGAACAGAAAATCAAACACCATATATTCTCATTCATAGGTGGGTTTCGAACAATGAGAACACATGGACATAGGGAGGAGAGCATCACACACTGAGGTCTGTGCGGGGGGATTAGAGGAGGGACGGTGGTGGGTAGGGAGTTGGGGAGGGATAACATGAGGAGAAATGCCTGATATAGGTGATGGGGTTGGAGGCAGCAAACCACATTTCCATGTATGTACCTGTGCAACAATCCTGCACGTTCTTTACATGTACCCCTCAACCTAAAATGCAATGATTTGTATATCTATATATGTATAAAAAGAAGTATGTCAACACAGGGAATAAAACTTATTATAGACTGGGGACCTGATCCAAAAGCCACAGGAAGAGGGTTGTTTTATTTTTTGAGATGGAGTCTCACTCTTCCTCCCAGGCTGGAATGCAGTGGCATGATCTCCTCTCACTCAACCTCTGCCTCCCGGGTTCAAGCTATTCTCCTGCCTCAGTCTTCTGAGTAGCTGGAACTACAGGTGTGTGCCACCATGCCCAGCTAATTTTTGTATTTTTAGTAGAGATGGGGTTTCACCATGTTGGCCAGGATGGTCTCGATCTCTTCTGATCCGCCTGCCTTGGCCTCCCAAAGTGCTGAGATTACAGGTGTGAGCCACCGTGCTTGGCTGAAGGGGATTTTTTTTTTTAAAGGAAGTGAGTGGTGAACATTGTCAAATCCTGCATTTGACATAGGAGAGGAGTGTCAGTGGCGTGATGAAGGCAGAAGCCAGACTTGAGAAGTCAACGGAAGTTGACCAAGAGATGACAGAACGGATTGACAGCTCTTAGAAGGAGCCCAGTTCTTAGGTGGGAGGAAAACAGGCAATAGCTAGTGGCTATATGAGGAGGGTGAAGTTAATTATTTGCAATGCAAGAGACATTTGATAGTATTTAAATGCTTCTGGGATAAAGGCAGTAGAGAGGAAAGACAGAAATAAATGAATAATTGACAGTTTCAGAGAGGTTACTGTGGGACTTAGACCACAGGTAGGGAATAATTTATAAGTGGGGGAGGAATCATCATTGTGATGAAAGAGAAGAGAGAAAGCTGAAAAATCTGATCTGGATACAGATGTAGGTACACCTTTAAGGGTGGGAACTGATGAGTTTTCATCTAATATATATGTGCTTTATACACACACACACACACACACACACACACACACATACCTGTAGATAGTTTCAATTTTCCATGATAATGATTTATTTTTATGGAGAAAAAATAGAATAAAATCAACCAACTAACCAAAGTGTTAAATCTAATTGGTCTTACTGTATTCAAGAGAATGGTAATACAATTCTTACACAACACATACATGTCCACACACACACACACCCCCAAAATAAAATCATCCAAGGTAAATGTACCCTACAGTCAATCTGAGAGCCTTTAGGAATAAAAATATACACCTATATATGGTATATATATCTATATAGGTATATATAGATATATATAAAATTATATATAAAATATATATTTTCTATATATGTAAACATACATATATTTTACATATAATAGTATAGGTACTATATTTAAGTATATATATTATATAGATTATACACGTAGATATAATTTTTTGAGGGAGGTGACAATGTGGTCTGCTGAGAAGCAGGAGACTATTGCTATAATCTCAGTGAACACTAAATACCGAATAAATGCTAATAAGCAATGTTAAAAAACATGTATTCTGAACAATTTGTTGGTAATCACCTTTTTCTCCCTTTTTTTTAGCTTGTAATTTTTTTTAATACCAGCCAGTCATAGTACCTAAACAGAAATTATAAAATAAAATACTCATTTACTTTTATGGAGAGAAAATGGAATAAAATCAACCAACTAACCAAAGTGTTAAATCTAAATTGGTCTTACTATATTCCAGAGAGTTTTAGTGGTAATACAATTCTCACACAACACACACACATCCACATGCACACCCCCCCAAAATCAAATCATCCAAGGTAAATGCACCTTGCAGTCAATCTGAGAGCCCGAAAGAATAAATGTGTGTTGGAATATTATGCAGCCATCCAAAATGATGAGTTTGTGTCCTTTGTAGGGACATGGATGAACCTGGAAACCATCATTCTCAGCAAACTGACAGAAGAGCAGAAGATCAAACACCGCATGTTCTCACTCATAGGCGGTGTTGGACAATGAGAACACATGGACACAGGGAGGGGAGCAGTACACACTGGGGTCTGTTGGTGGGAAATAGGGGAGGGACGGTGGGGTCTGGGGAGTTGGGGAGAGATAGCAAGGGGAGAGATGCCAGATATAGGTGATGGGGAGGAAGGCAGCAAATCACACTGCCACGTGTGTACCTATGCAACAATCTTGCATGTTCTCCACATGTACCCCAAAACCTAAAATGCAATAAAATAAATTAAAAAGAAAAGAAAAGAATAAATGTGTGTATCTTACTAGGCTCTGTGATTGTCACCCCCTTGGATCTCATGCCCAATGCTAAAAACGAGTGAAGCATGTAAGTCTCTAAGACACAGAGTTTGTCAGCTGATTCTCATTATTCAAGGATGGGAGGAGAGCCATAAGAGGAACAAGGCCGGGGAAAGCAGGCACAGCACTGTTAGAGATCTCAGTATGTGGCTCAGAGGAGGCAGTTTACTTCGAAAGGGAAGGGTTAGGGGAAGGAGGGGCATGGTTGTGCTTGAATTTTGTTGTTCCACTTCTAAGGAAATGACAGTTCCTACAGAGCACACCTCTCTTTCTTTTCTGTCTCCTTGTCGCTTATTTTATTTTTCTTTTGTTTTCTTCTGTCTTCACCTTTCCATGCCCCAAAGTTAAAGGATGGAGGCGACCACCGGAGAGCAGAATCGATTCAGATCTGGTAGAATGAAGAGTTGGAATGAATCTTCCCAGGCCGTCAGCTTCTGTGTTCTACCATGCAAGGAACTCATCTTTCTTTTCCAGCTCCCTTTTATATTGTTCAGCTAAAACAGGAAACATCAACATAGCTTGTAAGCACAGTGTAGGTTTTTTTTTAAACTTGAGATTCATTTTAGAGTCATCACAGAGCTAACTTCTGTTTAGGCCTATTTGATAACCAACAAGAAATTTTGTGAAATAAAATGAAACACTTGTAATCTCTGAATGTCATAAACACTTTCAATTATGTGTTTAAATTCAGTATCTGGGTAATAATTAAAGAAGTTACAACCAGACAAATCAACTTGGAAATAAACGCTGGATAGCTTTAGGGCACCTAAGCCATTGACTTTCTGAAAGACAGTGACAATTAAGAAATTCCCCTGCCATGGATAAAATTTAAAAAATTACAAAATATTTAAAAATATCAGATCTTTTATGTCTAGAGAGGCAGAGTTTAAATTTTGTACATATTCACACCATTTCCTGCAGGATACATAGCACGTAGAAAAATGTTCTCCCAGCACTTTGGGAGGCTGAGGTGGACAGATCACGAGGTCATTAGTTCAAGACCAGCCTGACTAACGTGGCAAAACCCCATCTCTACTAAGAATACAAAAATTAGCTGGGCGTGCTGGTGCTTGCCTATCATCCCAGGTGCTAGAAAGGCTGAGGCAGGAGAATCGCTTGAACCTGGGAGTTGGAGGTTACAGTGAGCCAAGATTGTGCCACTGCATTCCAGCCTGGGCGACAGACCAGGACTCGTCTCAAAAAAAAAAAAAAAAAAAAAAAACAAAAAATATTCTTAAAAAAAAAAAAAAAAAAAAAAAGATGAAGAAAACAATGTTCAATAGATATTTATATTTGTTGAAAATAGTTTTTTGAGTATCTATTTGAAAAACAGATTACATCTAAAAAGAGTCTGTCAAGGATCTGAAAAAACAGCCACCTAATTGGTATATTTCTTTCTTCTTCTTTTTTTCACGATAGAGTCTTGCTCTTGTTGCCCAGGCTGGAGTGCAGTGGCACAATCTCAGCTCACTGCAACCTCTGCTTCCTGGGTTCAAGCAGTTCTCCTGCTTCGGCCTCTTGAGTAGCTGGGATTACAGGCGGCTGCCAACACGTCCAGATAATTTTTATATTTTTAGTAGGGATGGGGTTTTGCCATGTTGGCCAGGCTGGTCTGGAATGCCTGATTTCCTGATTCGCCTGCCTTGGCCTCCCAAAGTGCTGGGATTACAGGCGTGAGCCACTGTGCTGAGCCTCTTTCTTATTTTTAATTTGAAAACCAGAGCCTCATCATTGCTTTGGGGGAATAACAGTTTTACCACCATCCTCTGCCAGTACCTTTATGGATGTATCCAGAAAGGCTCTGATTGGAAACATTCTGCAAAAGAATGATGGCCGTTCTGACATTTTTTTTTTTTTTAATTTAATTGGGCATAGGACATAAATGGAAGAAATGCTTTAAAAACATTACAGGGGATTTCAGAGCAAGAATAATGCTCTGAAATAAGCATAATGGGATGAAGAATGATGACACTTTTTAGTGGGAAACATTTTAAGTGCTTTTATCCTTTTAAAAAGCAATTCAAAAATGATCCTGACACTAATGCTTAGAAAGCGTCTGTAATTTTTCTCTGGAGCACTATAAAATATGAGCTGATTCTCCCCCATCTGTGATAGTTGACATGGAAAGCTATCTAATATGTGCAGGAGATCATGTACTTTTTTTTGTTGTTGTTGAGACAGAGTGTTATTCTATCACCCAGGCTGGGATGCAGTGGCACAATCTCCGCTCACTGAAACCTCTGCCTCCTGGGCTCAAGCCATCTTCCCACCTCAGCCTCCCAAGTAGCTGGGACTACAGGCATGGGCCACCACACCCAGATAATTTTAGCATTTTTTTGTATTGGCTTGGTGCAAAAGCAATGGAGGTTTTTGCAATAAATACGGGTTTTCATTATCTTGCCCAGGTTGGTCTCCAAATCCTGAGCTCAAGTGATCTGCCTGCCTCAGCCTCCCAAAGTGCTGGGAATACAGGGGTGAGCTAGTAAAACGTTTTTGAGTAACTCAACATGTATCTTGTTATTTATAAACTTCATTTATGTGCTGTCATCATTGTGTATACTAAATATTAGAAATTTAATTCTTGCTTTTTAGATAAAAATAAAGACAGATGAACATTTTTTTTATTGCTCAATTATCTTGCATATTTCTTGGGGTATACAGTCTTTTCATCCCCACTTCATTTTAGAAATCATTAATGTAGGCCTTGCTGTAGCCTGTAGGTGAAGAACCACATACTCTTTAAGAGAAAAATGGAAGATATAAAAAGCTTAGATATATTCCATCTCTCCGTAGAGTATAATGAGAGATAGCTGTCGTACAGTAGTTGATTTTTATTAAAAGATTACTCATCTCTGTTTGTTTTATTTAGGGGTTAATTTTCAAGTTTTAGATGGCTCTCCCTCTTTGAGTTGCCATTTGTTTCTTCTTATAACCTACTGATCATGCCTTTAGTATTCATAAATATTGAAAAGGGAAGGCCTCAGGTGACTTACAAAGGCGCCGATGTAAATACGTGTTTCTGGGGAGAAGTGAAGGTGTTGGATGATGCCTGACTATCACAGGTGTTCTTGTACCACATCTATGCCCCCTCAGTTGAGTTAAGTAAAACTGGTTACTAAGTATCAATGTATAATAGGGTCTCAGAACTTTGAGTCACTTTTTTAAATTGACTATCATAGATTCCATTTTAAGCTCATTTATTGAAGATGATCACAGTGTTATTCTCATTGCTAATTTTATTCCCGAAGCACCAGTGATCCAAGTGATTAGATTATCCTTGATTTTACAGCAAGAAAAAATTTTCAACAGTTAATATTAAATGGACTTGTATTAATATCCTTATGTAAGTTACAGGTCTTGCTATTGTGTTCTGCATTCAATAAAATACCAGAACACAAATCAAAAATGCCCATATCAAACACTGACCAGTTTTTACTTTGAAGTATTAAAATCTAGCTTCTGTAATACTTAATAGAATGTTAATCAGAGGACAATACGACAAAAAATAAAGACACCCATCAAAAAAATGTTTCAACTACTTGATTCATGTACAGACTAAATCTTTATATTCAGTGAAGTGCTATCAAGTTCTGATTCTTTTACGATCTTTGTTTATGCAACAGTAAAATCAGAATTAGGAAAGAAATGTTGAGAAGGAAAGTTGCTTGGAATTTGGATAACTCTAAGTTTAACATTTATATTAATTTATTGAACTGAGAAGTTGAGTAATTCTGAACTTTATGATTAATGGCTTAAGTAAAGCATGGAGGTGTTGGTCTTCAATTTTCAAAAATTTTTAAATATATATATTCCTCATATTTTTATGCAGACATTTAAGTTTTCATGACAAGTTTAAATAGTTGCAAAATATGTTTGACATATTGTAAATTTTGTTATTTAAAAATGAAATAGCTAGATCACTTTTTAAAATATGTTCAGTATAGTGACAATAAAAATTTCATATCTTCTACCAAACATTTAAAATACATGAAAGATATTTAAAAGTGAGGTATTTTCAAAAAATGGAAATCCATGCATGCTTTTTTCATAACATACATTTTCCATGAACTAATATGAGACCCCTAATATTAGGCTTTGGGCAGATTTTTTGCATGAGCTCTAGTGTTATACTTGCAAAACACACATGTTGTAATTAATACCCCTATCCATTTATCCAAAAGAATCCAAATGAATGTTTTGCTATTTAAAAAATCTTCGTAAAAATGTTGCTTTGAAAAATGTTTTAGAAGGCAGATGTGGTTTAAATAAATAATGTGTAAAACAAACAAACAAAAAAAAAGTGAGGTATTTTACTGTCTACTTTTTCTTCTGAACTAATTTTACGCTTTTTACCCAAAATAATTTTCTCCAAATGTGATATATATTTTTGTGCTTGAAATAATATTATCTCTTCTGTGCTTTTCTGCAACTTCTGTATACATACATGTATATAATATAAAAATGGAAATAAATGTCCACATTCCCCTTACCAGCCCAGTTTATCCTCAGAGTACTGATAAACGACTTGTTGCCGAATCAGTTGGGGATTTTTGCTCAGACATTTAAGTTGTGTAACATGCAACTTCATAAAATGTCAAATTTTCACTGAAATATGTTCTTTATTATTGTGAAATGCCAAAGGCCAAAGAAAAACGTCTGTTTGTGCAGGAAGAAGTACTGCCCCCATCTTCTTATGACAGGACTGTGTTTGCTGGAGCTTCTCCATCTCAGTCTACCCTGGATTTACCCATGATCTTAACATTGTTTTCAAACTGTGACATTGTTTCATAAGCACCTTGACTAAATATTTCGGCCTCCTAGGACATATGGAGGCATTTTTCTGTGTCTTTCTAGTTGGAAGATAAAGTTACATAGGCCTTGATCATCCGGTAGACAGACAGCTGCTTTCAGAGAGCAAAATCCCTTCCAAGAGACTTGTGTGGTTTCATACTGAAGCTGGGAATTGCTGTGTCTTAGCTTTAATGCTTATATCTGGGTTTCAATAAGTGAAGCCTCCAAAAGCTTTTCCCTTGTGATGTTCTGCCCTGAAGGCTGTCTTGAGCAGGGGCACTGGAATTGTTGTCCTTATATGTATTTTAAATTCTCGTATGGATTTTGGTGAGTCATCATACCAACAGTTAAACTGTTTTCCAGCCTGCAGAAATAAAGATACAACCACAAAGCATTGTTTTCTTTTATCTGAGCATTCTCATATTCCTACCTACTGTGCTTCATGTCAGCAAGTGATCCTTTACATTATTATAAAGTAACGTAATATAGGAGCATCTTATAAGACTAGAGAGACAGAAACAATCCAAAAACCACCTTTCTGCAAACAGCCATTTGTAATGATTTAAAAGACACAGATAGACCCTATTGATAGTTCAGGTTTGCTATGGTGACATGATATTCCCAGTATTCTATAGGTACCCAAATTTAGTTCAAAACATTGCTTCAGAGTATTCTTGATTTTATTCATTCTACCAATGATCTGCTCAGAAAATCAAATCCGAGTACAGCAACAGAGGAAAAGAAGTTATTAAAATATCAGACAAAGTAGGTTCATCAGGAGTTACAACGTTATTTCATACTCTACTTTACCTTTATTGTGGAAAAGGGTACTTTTTCATCATAGAATAAAGACCTGAGATTGATTACAGAATCACTGTGGACATCTTCAGCACAGCTTGCACATGCCCATCGGGCTGTTTCAGTCTGCTTACCTTTGCCATGTGCCCCCTGAATCACAAAGTGTGAGCAAAAGGGTCTAAAAGCCCCCACAGTTCAGCTCTAATACTCAGTGGAGAATAACATCTATTCTTTCTTCCTCAGTCCAAAGATACCCCCACAAAATGTTGTTTTATTTCCTCATAAACTCAGCTTCAGCTCTTAAAATGGAACTTATTGTACACAGAATCTATCTTTGGGTGAGTATTACATAAATTTCTACACTTTACCAAATATGGGGCGATTCTGTCTCATACCTCCATATTCTGATATTGTTTACATTTCATTTTATTTTACCAACTTCTTTGTAAAGAAATACAACAAATTAGACCAGTGTGTCTTAGAGAGAGACAAGGAAGGGATAGGATCTTGGAAGAACTGATGGAGATGGGAGGGGTCTCTCAGGAATTAAAGTGCTTGAGCAACCTAAAGAAGAGCGATCCAAGGCACAGAATCTCCCAGTCTTTAGATTGCATTCAGCTCATTTCTTTCACATTGAGGAGTCTTGGAAGCCGTGTTCTGGCAGATGTGGCAGGCCTAGCAGTCACTGAACACTGGAGGTAAAGAGAACCTGGCTCAAGCAGCCTGAAGTGGGGATGAGCCACTGCAGAGAGCTGTGACAGTGGTGATGGCACACACAAGCTTAGAACATTTTTCTGGCCTCCCATGGAACTCAATGCTTTGAGCGGGGTTTGAGTAAAGCTGAACTGCTGAAGACACAGAAACAGGTTCCCATCAAGGTCTCGGAGGTCAGCTCAGGAGCAGGACCACTGTGTTATTTCCCAAAGAGGGAAAATAAATTAGCTGAGAAGGTTCAGTGTCCTTATGCGTTCAAACATCTCAATACGTAATATCATATAGCCACAGCTCTGAAGAAAGGCATCCGTAGAAAGTGGTATCTTTCCAGGAGAAATCTTTGGCAGCTTTCATGGCTGATTGTATTACGTGTTAGTGACAATGAAGTTTCTCCTGGAGCTTCATTACCACTCTTAGAGTCTATCTCATAATGTACATTTGGAGACGGCCTAGAAAAATGTGGTGTCTGATTGGTGCTAATAAGATGGTGACGAAATTCCTAACAAGAAAAGACTGTGCTTGACTATTTTCAATAATTTAGTATTCTGGGATAAGCTTAACATCCTCACTGGCTGCCTTTGCCCCCCACGAGTACTTAGCATATGCCCAAATAAAGTTTAAGCAAGCTAGCTCCACTATTCCCAAACACATATTATCTACGGTCTAGTCTTTAAAAGTACAAAGTAAAAAGTTTAAAAGTACAACTCACAAAAGGTTGTACCCAAACTAAAAAAGCTGAAATGATAAATTGATGGATTTGTGTTTTCTATGAAAGAGGGTACAAAGCAGAATGCTAACATACATATATAGGGGAGAAGAGGGCAGGAGTTTTTTTTTTTTTTCATTTTTTTATTTTATTGCATTTTAGGTTTTGGGGTACATGTGAAGAACATGCAAGATTGTTGCATAGGTACACAAGCGGCAGTGTGATTTGCTGCCTTCCTCCCCATCACCTATATCTGGCATCTCTCCCCATGCTATCTCTCCCCAACTCCCCACCCCCCACTGTCCCTCCCCTATTTCCCCCCAACTGACCCCAGTGTGTAGGCTCCCCTCCCTGTGTCCATGTGTTCTCATCGTTCAACACCCGCCTATGAG